CACGAGCGTGAGGTGTCCCACGCACAAGGCCAACAGACGCTGGCATTTGCCCTCGGAATGGCATCTGGCTGTTCCCGCAGCGTGGCCATATACTCTACAAGGCTGGCGCCAGCCGCTGCGAGAACATCTCCTTTCAGCAAGGACTCTCGGTGAGACATGCAAAACGAATGTGCCCACTTGAGCATGACCCCTGTCTCTGCTGCTTTCGTTTTCAATTTGAAACTGTCTAGCTCTCCAATCATAGTCCTGGTGAGAACCCCGAGCTGGTCTGATAATGGAACCTCGTTCGCGCTGCACCACCTCTTGTAGTCGGAGAACAAACGCTTGAGACCTCTGTCAATCTGAACCGCCTTCGACGAGCTTTCCTGCCCCCACAATGATGACCTGAGCGCTGCCCACAACACCGTGTGAACGTTTAATGCGACCACGCCCAGGTGCAACGTATGAAGCGTGTCTATGTGCAGGCTAGTTGCGGGAGTGATTCCCAACTCGTCACACCACAGCGGGTTTCGACGAAGCACACGATCTGTCACCCTGCCTTTTTTGTCTTTTGATGCCCGCCAGAAGGTTGCAATGAACGGTAGTTCCTGGCGCTGGAATCGCCCTACATCAGAAAGGCCAACGCTTGGGTCAAGCCGATCAATTTTTTCCAGGCCAAGGTGGCCAACGTCTTGCTGCAAGATCATACCCATTTTCTTGTTGCGAGTGTCGAAGTAGAGCAGTCCAATGTTCAGAATGTCCCGCCTGGTCTGTTCATCTGCTACATCGACCAACACCTCGGGTTCGCTGCAGGCCTCGTCGTATGAAGTTTTGTCAACACCCCAAGGCTGCGCACCTAGAGACACGTTCTCGAACGTGTATAAGCGATTCTTCTTGCAAGGGCAAAATAAACATGGCCTCCAAACCGAACTCCAGGTTGGCAGCCCCATCAGGTTACAAAACGCTTCCCAGTCGCCCTTAATCTGGCAGAGCGCAAATCTTGCAGGAAGCCGCGGCCGCGTGGCCAGAAGCTCTGCGCTGGTGGAATCGCCAGGGAACCCGGAGCCGTCCCACCTGGAAATGCTGAGCTGCGCCCAACGCCGCTGCCATCTCCAGCCCGCCCACCCGCCGCCTCCGACGCTGCACCTCTCCCCCGCCACCACCGCCCCGGTCGAGGGGTTTTGGCGAGGGGGGGAAGTGAAGGCGGGGGCGAATGCGGCCAGGAGGCGGTCATGACCCAGGGCGTTGGGCGCAACCGCAGCCTGGTAGCAGGGCGATCG